AGCACAAGCTGCTCAGGAGCACGATCACTCCAATCTGATCTAGATTAGATTTCAGGAAGAAATCCTTCCCTGTGAGGGAGGCAGGCCCTGGCACAGGTGCCAGAGCAGCTGTGGCTGCCCCTGCATCCCTGGCAGTGCCCAAGGCCAGGCTGGACGGGGCTTGGAGCAGCCCGGGACAGTGGGAGGTGTCCCTGCCATGGCAGGGGGTGGGACAAGATGAGTTTTAAGTTCCCTCCCAACACAAACCATTCCATGACTCTGTGCTCCAGCTGAGGGGACAGCAGCACGAGCAGGGGCTGGGCTGGAGCAGCAGCAGGTTGGTGACAGGACACTGGCAAAGCCAAGGCAGGGATCCCAACAAGAGCACAGGTGGTTTCTGCTGCATTTCCCCGCTCCTGGCTCCTGGCTCCTGGGGTTTGGGTCCCTGTGTTTCCTGCTGGCTGTGCTGGAGCCACATCCTCCCCTGGCCACACGCCCGGAGGAGTTTGCCAGCTGCTGGAAATGGCTGGAAGGGTTTTAAAAGCAAGAAGCCTCTCCATCCCTCAGGCTTCCCAGCACATCAGCATCTCCTGTGGGATTCAGGCACTGGCTCTGTGCAAGCCTGAGCATCCAGCTGCTTCCCAGGAGCACCAGAGACCAGAGATGGGGATTTGGCTCCAAACCTGGGGGACACCTGAGGAAAGGCCAGAATTTGCTGGGCTTTTGTGTCCCTGCCCCACATCCCCCTCCCCTCTATCCATCTGAACCCAAACTCAAGATTGAAATGAGCACTGGAAGGAGCTGGGCAGAAATTTCCTGGCACCTCTGTGCCCCTCCATGGTGCCAGGGGGTTGATTCATTTCCAGCATGAAGGCTGAGAGTGTCACTGCTCCCTGGGCTGTGCTGACCCACGTCGAGCTGAGCTGCCCTGAGGACATTCTGATCCCAGTTGGGGTGTCTGTGTGGACTTTCTGCTGCTGGCTCTGACTTCCAAGTCATTAGCCTCCAAAAAAATCCCATTTTTCATCTTTCCCCTCCTCGTGTGGCAGCAGAACCAGTTTGAAAAATATTTCTGCACAGAGGAATGGAGCATTGTCCAAATAATCCCAGTGAGAGGGGGGCAGAGGATCGGTTACACTGCAGGGAGAGCTCCCATCAGAGGGGCCAGGGAAGCACAGGAGGAAGGTGAAGAGGGGACCCCACGAAGCAAAACCAGGGAAGCACAGGAGGAAGGTGAAGAGGAAGGCTGTCCCAGCCCTAGAAATTCCAGGAGCTCACCAGCACTTCGTGGAGGGCCCCAGAGAGCTCCAGCAGGGTCCCCAGCTGGGTAGCTCATTGCCACTTTGACCACAGGACTCTCCTGGGGACAGCAGCTGCCACAAGAGCTCAGCTCCCCCAGACCCAGGCACGGGGCAGGCAGAGACTCTGCCCCGTCCCCAGGTGAAACGGGGACCCCGGGAAGCAAACCCCAGAAAAAAGAAGCCAAAGCATCGGCCGGCAGCGGTGGCATCTCGCTCTTGAGCAGCTCCTGCAGCCTCGGGCCGTGCTCATGTCCCCTGCCCCCATTTCCGTCCCCCGGCGGGGACACGGAGCCCTGGCTGCTCCCTCATTACTCATTAACGCCGGGACAAGGTCCTCCCGCACCCCTCGGAGCCCCGTGCGTGCCCCGAGCAGGCGCTGCCGGCCCCAAAGCCCTTCTGCCGGCAGCTCCTGCTGCTCCCCGTTTCTCGCCCGGGGGATGGACAAAGCCAGCGCGGGGCCGGGGCCGCGGTGACCCCGCTGGCGATCGCTGGGACACGGGCACCGCCGCTGGTGCTGCTGAAAATCAGCGCGGTTGTGAAAGCGGGGTTTAAAAATGCCACAGGAAAAGGGATGTCCTTGCTCAGGGGCCGGGCACAGGGAATGGGGAGAATAAATAGAAGTTGGGGTCTCTCTTTGCCAGCTCCCTCGTGCTGGAAGGGACAGCTCGGGCACAGCAGCGTCACCCGCGCGGTGACAGGGACAGGCGGCCGCCAGAGGCACCTCCTGCCGCTGTGTGAGCGTCCTGAACCTTCCCGGGAAGAGAAAAGCCCGTGGGAACGGCAGCACGGCCTCGGTGCCATGTGGGATGCCACATCCGAGCTGCCCCCAGGGCTGGCACAGCCGCCACGGGGCTGACAGCGAGTGCCAGCCCCGGCCCGGGGTGTGACACGGGTGACACCCGGGCTGCCGGCGGAGCTGCAGAGTTTAACCCGAATATTTGAGAGGAGCGGGGCGTGGGAGCGGGCATCCCGGGAATCCCGGCAGCTGGAGCCGCCCCTCGGCCCCGCTGCCTCCCGGCCGGGCCGGTGCCTCCCTCCGGAGCTGCTGGGACGTGTCCTCACCCCCAGCCTGACCCAGGCAAGGGGGAGCCCTTATCCCAAGGTCCCTGCGGGCCTTCGGGCTCCCCTTTCATCCCTGCCCCAGCTGGGCACATGCCCACCTTTCACTGCTCCTCCTCCTCCATCCCCGCCGGGCAACCTCCCCTCCCTCGCCAGGGTCACCCCAGCTCTCAGCGGGGGAAACTGAGGCAGGAGGCGAAGCAAACCAGCTTGTTCCCGAGGGGACAGTGACATCCGGCTGGGTGAGTCCCCCCACGCGAGCTGGGCAGCCACCCGGGGACCCCTGAGGCGGCTGTGCCACCGTGCGAGGGCAGGGCAGGAGGGCGGCACCGCCCTCGCAGCCAGGACCTTCCCTGGAAGCGCTCCCGGCTCCGGCATGAATCACACTTTCCCCCGGGATCGGATTGCAGCTCCTGCTCTCGAGGGGCCGCGTCTGGCACCCCCCGCGCCCTCGGCAAACAGAGCACGAGCGGGCACAGCGCTCCCGAAGCCCATCCAATGCCAGCTGCAATTCCCTCTGCCAGCTGCAGTCCCATGGTGGGACAGAACCCCACGGGGCTGCCAGAGCCGGGCTGCTGCTTCCAGCCTGTCCCTGAAGATCGCGCAAAGACTGGGAGAAATGTTGTTTTTCAAAGCGTTGATGCATTTCAGAAACAGAACGATTCCGATCCTTCGGTTTTACCAAGCACCTGAACCCGGGCGTTTGCATTTCTTGTGAAACACTTGATTTGGAACATTTCAGTGTTTTTTCATCACTGCACACACACCTCTCCTACACATTCCCAACAGGAGGATCTGAAATCCAGCAGCTTTTTTTTTCTTTTTCTTTTTGCAGGGGGACGGAGCTGCCGTGGCAGTGCCAGGCTGGTGCCACCGCGGTGCCACCGCGGTGCCGCCTGGCTCCCTGCCCTTGGGGCAGATCTGCCGAGCGTGACGGGAAGGAAAAATCCAGCAGGAAGGGAGGCACGGCCCCAGGGCCGCAGAGAGGGGGTGCGGCCCCGCAGCTGCCCCTGCCTGCTGCCACCCGCTCCGCCGGGCACGCCGCGTTGGCAGCTCCCTCCAGCCGGATCTCAAACTCTCCGTCTCTCCAGCTCTCTCCTGGTTTTCCCTCGCCTCTGGCAGCGCCGGTGCCAGCTCTGTTTACCGGAGCAAAGTCCGCGCTGCTCGCTGCCGGTGCGTTCCCTGCACGGCCCGGCCCCGGACACCGGGGACACCGGGACACCGGGGACACCGGGACACCGGGACACCGGGACACCGGAGCCCGCTGTTGCCTGGTTATATCCACAAAACATCCCCGTGCCGGGCCTGGGCCGGGGTATCCGCTTACGGAGGGGAACAGCTGAGCCTCCTCCCTCCCCACCCTCCCCTGGCAGCTCACCAGAGGAAGCCCGGCCCGGGCTCGTCGCTGTCATTGTCCCCTCCAGGCCCTACAAGGGGTGTTGGACCCAGTCCCTGCGATCCGCAGGTTTCTCCCCTTGGCGGTGGCAGCTCTGGATAGATATTTATACACCCAACTTGTGCGAATTAACAGCATTCCTCTCTGATTGAGTCAAAAATAGAGGCGCTTCATGGAAAAAAAGAGAGAAAAAGAAGGTGTGCCGGGCTGAAAAAAGCAACGGGATCCAAAAAAAGAGAGAAAAAAACCCCACTCAAATCTCCCTTTTCCTTTTAAAGCTCTGTTCCCGAAGGATGGACCGGCGCTGTTATTTTAAACCTGATTTCTGCGGCCCCGTGGCCAGCGAGCCACGGGCAAGGTGGGGTGGCAGCAGCGATGTCACCGCCTGTGCTGCGCGCTGCTGGGGCGTTTTGGGGCACTTGAACTTCCTGAGAGCCGAGTGCCGACTTCCTGGGCACGGCGGGAGCGGGCAGAGGTAGGCTCGGGGGGCACCCACGCCGTGACCCCAGGGTGATGCACCCACTCCCACGTGGCAAAATATGTCTAAATTTGGGGTTTTAGATAAATATTTGTTGGTGATATGATGCATAAATATGGGTTGAGGGTCCACGGAGTGGGGAGAATGTGGATGGGCACCAAGGGAGGGAAGAGATGTGGGTGGGCAGAGGTGGGAGACCAGGAGGGTGAGGGCAGTGTTGCTGCTGGACACCCAGGAGTGTGACCACGGGGCTTTGCAGAGAGAAATGTCACTTTCTGCACCCCCAAAACAGAGGGAAAAGGGTGGCAGGGATCGGTTCTGGGGCGGAAGAGGAAGCAGAGGCTGTGCTCTGCCATTACTGGGGTTTGTGGGTTTGTGGGGCGTAGAAAGGACCCCGAGACATCAGTATTGAACCCATGGATAACCAATGCCTGGGAGTGCAGCACTGTGCTGCCAGCAGCCTCACAAATCCCATTCCATCCTCGGGATGAGCCCCAACCTCCATCCCCTGGCACTTCCCTCCCACCTCAGCCCAACCCCACGGCCCTGGGGGACCCCACCGAGACACCCCATCATCCCCACCCCGTCCTGGCCACAATCCCGGCGGGATGGGGACCTGTGGCTCGGGAAGGGGCCACAAAACCCGGCTGGCCATAAATCAGGGCTGGGAACAGCCGGGGCGGGATGGGCGCTGCCCCCAGGGCTGCGGGCTGGCTGCAGCCCTGCGGCTGCCTCTGCCAGGGATGCAGCCTGTGGGCCTTCCCCGCCCTCCTCCTCCTCCTCCTCCCCGGGGCGGAGGAAGGCAGCGGCCGCAGCTGGCACTGCAGGCGGTGGCCGGGGAAGCGGCTGCTCCGCGGAGTCTGATTTCCAGCGCTGTTTATTAATAACCCCTCTCCGCCCCATGCTAAGCCCATGTGCAGCGCAGAGCCGGCGGCGCTGGGCTCCGGGGGAGGAAGGTAAGAGCCCACCCGGGCTGCCCAGGAAGGGGCCGGGGTCCTGCGGGGGGTGCTCGGCCAGGTGGGGTGGGGGGTCTGGGGTTCGGCATTCCCGGCGCTCGGGAACGGTCAGGGAGGGCCGGAGGTCCCTCTGGGGCACGCAGGAGTTTCGGGGGGATGCGGGGCGGTGGGAGGGACAGAGGGGAGGCAGGACACGGCGCCCTCCCCTCCCGTGCTGCCCCCGCGGAGCGGCCCCAAGAACTTCCAAAAACAAGAGCAGGCAGAGGGGAGGGCGAGGAAAACCGGGCAGAGGAGCTTTCCCCCACCTTTGCAGGGGCTGCCCCTTCTCCAGCCGCGTCCGAGGCTGCGGTGTGGCAGCAGTGCCGAAAACTGCCTTATTAGGAGAGAAACTATCGGGGAAAATCAGATCTTTGCTTAAAGCCGCTGCTCCGAGCGCAGCGCTGCCCGTGGGTGCCAGCCTGCGCTCATTCCTCAGGGGATGACTAGACATGAGCTCAGCGGCGTGGCCGGGAGGTGAGAGCATCCTCCCACCCATCCCACCGGTCCTGGCGGCAGCGGGAAAACCCCGGCTCGTCCCCGAGCGTTGTCGCGTCCATCCCACCCGAAGAGCAGCCGGGAGAAGGCGACAGCGGCGTTCGGCGGGGCGGCCGCGCTGGGGACAGTGCCGGGTCGGATGACTCGGCAAAGCGGCTCCTGCTGCAGGCGCTGCCGCTCGCCCCGGGCTCTGCGTGCGGGGCTTGCTCGGTCTCAGCCATCCCGGAGCCTGCCCGGCCTTCCAGCAGCGCATTCCCTTGCCGTGAGGTTATGGCACACCGAGAAAACCCCGGCGGGTTTCGCAGGGAGCGCTGGCACGGGTCAGCTCGGTGCCGCTGGGGGGGCTGGTCCTGGCAGGCTGGCACAGGAGCAGTTCTGGGGTTTGGGGTCTGGGTTTGCACGCCTCGCTCCTCCTCCGCGGCAGTCAGACACTCTGATAGGGTTTTAATGGGGTTTTCTTTCCTCGTTTTGGACAGTCTGGGCCCAAATTGTCACCAGGGTGTTGAGCTCAGCCCTGTGGGTGACACAGGCATGGGCACAGCAGCAGGGCCGTGGTGGGACCCCCTGGCTCTGGGGTCTCACAGGGTGGGGAGGACAGGCTGAGACCTGTTACACTCATTGCTCTGGTTCACACCCCCTCTCCTTCCCAGGGACCTGATGGCACAGCCCGAGCCCCCTCTGGAGCTGCAGCTGGATGAAGCCAGAGCACCCCCAGCCCCACAGGGAGCAGCTGAAGGAGCTGCTCCACACCCAGACCGTCCTCACAGCCCCTTGGATCCAGCAGGGAATGGATCTAAACCCCTGCACAGGGGCAGCCCAGACCCCAGCCAGGAGCTGCAGGCTGCCAGCAGGGATCCTCCCCTGGAGATAAACACACCAGGGACTCAGGGGGATGAGGGTGCAGCCGGGGCTGGGATCCCGCTGGACGTGGATGCAGAGGGGACAGGAATCCCACTGGACATGGATGCAGACAGGGTAGAGATTCCTCTGGACGTGGATGAAGGTGGGACAGGGATCCCGCTGGATGAGGATACAGCAGGAACTCTGCTGGACGTGGATGAAGGTGGGACAGGGATCCCAGTGGATGAGGATACAGCAGGAATTCCTCTGGACGTGGATGAAGGTGGGACAGGGATCCCAGTGGATGGAGCAGGGATCCCAGTGGCCATGGACACAGACAGGGCAGGGATCCCAGACAGTGCAGATGGGGCAGGGATCCCGCTGGACATGGACACAGAGGGAGCAGGCGGCCCTCTGGATGCCGACGCCACAGAACACCAGTGCCTGACCCTGGAGGAGCTGGGGAATTATTTCCAGGAGTGCATCGAGGTCGTGGAGCAGCTGGAGAGGGAGCGGGACAGCCTGATCGCCGAGCTGGCGCAGCTGCGCGAGCCGGCGCTGCAGGAGATCCGCCATGCCCACGAGGAGATCCAGGCGGCCTGCAGGCTGCTGGCCAAGGTGGAGCTGGAGAGGGACAACCTGCGCGACGAGATCCGCCAGATCAAGCAGAAGCTCTTCAAGGTGACCAAGGAGTGCGTGGCCTGCCAGTACCAGCTGGAGAGCCGGCGGCACGACCTCTCCCAGCACGCCGCCTACCAGGGCGAGCTGCAGAGCCAGGCGGGGCAGCTCTCGGGGGAGCTCTCCCAGCTGAAGGAGACCTGCGAGAAGGAGAAGGAAGTCCTGAGGCAGCGCCTGGAGGCTCCTCCCTGCCGGCAGGACAACCTGTACCTGCAGGAGAGCCGCAGGCTGTCGCTGGAGTTCGAGAGCTTCGTGGCCGAGAGCCGGCGGGGGCTGGAGGAGCACTACGAGCCGCAGCTGCTGCGGCTGCTGGAGCGGCGCGAGGCCGGGGCCAAGGCGCTGCAGGAGATGCAGGGAGAGATCCAGGGCATGAAGGAAGCCCTGAGGCCCTTGCAGGGCGAGGTCAGCCGGTTGAGGCTGCAGAACCGCAGCCTGGAGGAGCAGATTGTCCTGGTCAAGCAGAAGAGGGATGAGGAGGTCGGGCAGTACCGGGTACGGGCCCCGAAGGGCACAGCTCCGTCCTCTTGGGAGAGTGGGGGCTGTGCTTGGCACCCAGGGAAACGGGCGTGCTGCAGGGTTTGCTTGTAGGGCCCAGGGAAATGGGGTGGATGAGGATGGGGAGGATGTGGAATGTCTTCTGCTGGTGGGAATCAAAATTCTCCCAGACCCTGGCGTGAAACAGCAGCCCCTGGGCCTAAGGCAAACCCAGAGATGTGGTGGGAAAGCTTGGGGCTTCACACAGCTTGGAAAATAGGTTTCTCCTGCATATCTTCACTTGGTTTTGGCCCCTCAGAAATGGCTCCAGGGATGAGGTGGAAGGGATGGGGGATTTCCTTCCCAAAGCTCAGCGCCACTGCTGGGCACAGGCACCAGACCCTTCCCACAGCTCCTCTGAGCACAGCACTGAGCCAAGATGCCTGGAAAAGCCAGTTTTAAATACAGGTGGCTTTTCTTTTCCTGCTGGGGCAGGTTCTGCCCTTCCTGCTGCCAAGGAAGGGTCTCACCATATCCCCACAGCCCCAGGCCAGGCTGCCTCCTGGGAGGGTGATTTGGCTGGGCCAGGCATCCCCCTGGCCTGAGGGACGAGGCAATTCAATATCTGCAAGAGCACATTTGGCAAGGAGGCTCCACAATTAATCTCCCCCCTTTCAACACTCTCTGTGCTCAGCTCGCAGTCGCTGCCTCCTCCCAGCAGTTTCTGGAAGCTGCCATTCCTCCCCCTGCCACCACAGCTCCTCCCTGCTGGCGTGGGGATCAGAGCCAGCACCCACACCAAGCTTGGCCTGCATTTTCAGGGTCCCTTGGACCCCTGGTGTGCCTCCACATTTCCCTCTTCCCAAATTCCTTATTTATCTCCCTCTGACTCACGCGTTTATACAGCTCTGGCAGCTTCTCAAAACACACACCAAGTGGTTCAGGGGACAAAACCAAGCAGCCAGGAGAAACCTAAGGACAAAACACAGCCCAGCCCAGCCTAAATCCCCACCTGGGTGTTAAAACAAAGCTTTGTTTGCAGAGGTTTTCAAAGAGGGCAGCTGGGCAGAGGGAGGCACAGGGAGACCCCGAGAGTGAGGGGAGCCCTGCTGCTCCTCCCTCCCTCAGCTACCCACCCCTCTTCTCCCCGCAGGAGCAGGTGGAGGAGCTGGAGGACAGGCTGAAGGAGCTCAAGAACGGGGTGCAGCTCCAGCAGCGCAAGAACCAGGAGCTGGAGGAGCTCAGGAGCAGCCTCCACCGGGAGCTCTCCATCTACAAGTGGGTTGGGTCCGTCCCTGCGGGGCACAGGGGCTGGGGGGGGACGGGGGTGGTGGGGACACGGTCTGGGGACAGCACAGGCTCCTCCGGGCCCCAGCGGGAATTCCAGCTCCTCCGCACAGCAGCACAGAGGGATTTGCTGGGAACCCCCGCAGAGCAGCGGATGGCTTCCCGAGAAGCAGGCGTGGCAATTTAAGTGGTGGTTTCCTCAGGAATATGTGGAAAGGAGCTGAGGTTTGGCTTTGGGAAGCTGGAGCTCTTCTGTCCTGGTTGCACTCAGGGATGAGTGATGTGCAATGTGAATTTCTAAAGCTCCAGAAAACGTCCTTGAGTTTGGGGATTGTTTTACTCACCCAGCTTCGAGCTGCTGTTTTTCCAGCCTTAGCTGGACACAATTTTAACCCTTTTCTTCACCCTCACTGCTCCTTCAGCACTCTTTTTTCCCCTTCTCCACCCAAACTCCTCAGGAGGACATTCCCTAGCCCAAAGGTTTTTTATCCAAGCACAGGGATGAGCTCTCAGCCTGTCCTTGCAGCCTGGGGTTCTCCTAAACCACAGCCCAACATTTAATCCCAAACACAGCAGTGCAGTCTCTTAACTCCTGGAATTTCCAAATGGCCATCCCTGGAAGTGACACCTTTAAATGAGCTTTCACATTTGCTCTGGGGAGCTCAGAGTTAAGTGCAGCTCTGAGCTGCCTTTTCCATCAGCTCCCACCAGAAATGACATTCCCTTCTGTTAAATCCTCTCTGCCAAGGGCTCTGAAGGGCTGGGCCCACACACTCAAGACCATGGACTGAGCCCCTTGAAGTTTTTCCCAATTCCTTTTTCTTCCATACTACAAACAGAATTTTTTTCCCCTCTTTTCTCCAGCCAAAGCACTGATGTAATTATTCCATAGCCTGAATTTCCTTTCTCCCCTCACAGGAGCTGCTTAGAAATCTACGGCCACCTCTGCAAATCGGAGGAGAAAGCAGAGCAGGACTCTTAGAACCACAGAATTTTCCTCTTTGTAGCAAAAGCCAGTGGACAGAGGCTCCAAGGGAGGTCTCCTCGTGCTGCTTTACCCTGCCTGACGTGCAGCAGCTGCCTGGAGCTGGGAACACCAATCCTTTCCCTGGGTATCCCCCCAGGTGCTGCTGCTGCTCTTGATGTAAAACTGCTTTTCCCCAGAGGAGCAGAGCAAACCATCTTTGGCCTGAACAATGGACATGGATGAGGGATAACTGATTGATGTTTTGCTGTGTTTGGGAAAATGTTGTCTTGTTCAAGCCTGCACAGAAAGTTCTGACAGCTGGTGGTAGTGGGGGTTTGACTTTTAAAGTTTACATGCAAGAGAAGCATTCTCCTTTGAAGAGGATTTTCTTTTGTATTTCGAGAGTTTCTGCTGTACTGGGACATGCTCCACAGAAATGAGGTGGTGGGGAAGAGGTTTCCACTTTATATCGAGTCTCACACTGAAAATAAAAGGTCAGAGTTTAAGGAGCCTCTTCATTCTCAGAGCTGCGTCTCAAAGGCCCAAATTTGTCTGTCAAACTGAGGTGGTTGTGTCCAAGTCAAAGTGGTGCAGGATAACAAAAAGGCAGAGTTAAAATGCAGAAAGCAGCAGGGCTTGAGGGAAGAACAATTCAGGGATTTTGTGCCTGCTTGGGGGTTTGACTGCTCATTAATTTATTTTACAAAGCAGCAGAAATGAGAGGGGGAGAAATATGCAACTTGATGTCTTAAAAATTAAAAAATATCTCTAGCAGCACCCAACCTCATGGACACACATAGGCAGAGGCCACACTCTGAAAACACCCTCACCAAAGCAGGAAAGAGCACAGAACTCCCCAACCTTGGCAGCGTTTACGTAGAAAAACTTTATTCCAACTGAAGAACTTACACGCAATTAGTCATGAGGAGATGGAGAGAACAGGCTGCTGGTGGCACTGACACCCGAGTGGAAGACGTGCAGGACCTTGTGGTCAAGGACTGAACTCCTAAAAAAAGTGAGTTCATCCACATTTCACTTGTTTCCCACCAGCTGCCAAGGCTGTTGAGGGCACCGGGGTCACCCGTTGGTACAAACAAACACCTTCCACGACTTGAGGGCTCCCCCAAGTTTCAAAAACCATTTCACAGAAAGGAAAGAAACATTATGTGAAAACACAGCTCAAGAAACACACAACAGAGCAAAAAATATGGGAGGTGAGAGAGGGTTTGCAGGAATAGCTAAAACCAAAACGCTGGCACCCAGCAGCAGGGAGGAAAGGGAAAGGAAGGAATGAAAAACCCAGAATTGCCAGGAGCGAAAAAAAAAAGAAATTTCAGTTCAAGTCAGAACTTGCAAGTCTTGTATCTGCAAAGGCAGAAAAAGCCACAGAGTACAGATAACTAAAGGAATTCCAAGGCTTCTGAGTTGTACTGAGGAGGACAAGACCTTCCACACCATTTCTGAGCTGTCAGGGGATTAACACTTGGATCATCTCTGTTGGCTCAAGCCCACTGGGGCAGCTCTGCCAATTTAACTTTTGTTTAAATTAGGCAAAAGCCTGTGGCTGCAGCAAGCAAAAGAGAGAGAAAAATAAACGAATCCCAGGCTTGCTGTGTGAGGAAGGCAGTTAAAAAGGGACAGGCAGACCAATGGAGCAGGCTGCTGCAGGAACTCTGGCCAAGGAGCCACAGCAGGGCCTGGCTGAGGGGGCTGAGCCCTTTTTGCTTTTGGGGCGGTGGGCTCTCAGTGTGTGGCTGGGAAAAGCCTGTGATGGATCTACAGGAGGATGGCTGAACACAAAGTCAACGTGTGTGTCTCAAAACCAGTGTTAAGTCAATCTCAGGGCTGAGAGGGAAGAGAAGGAGAAAGACTAAAACCAAGGAGAAGTTGCCATCTAGGACCCTTGGCCTTCTGGATCCACGCTTCCTTCGGGATCTTCATCGTTGTAGATGTTCTCTGCCTGCAAGACAGGGATGGAGACACTCAGGGAGCATGTCCCACCCCTCTGGCCAGGATTCCACCCCCAGGAAGTTCTGGTCATTTTTTTATTTGCAGATATGGGTCACCCATCCCTGATTTACATACACAAACAAACCCAGCCATAAATGCAGGTCTCAAAAAATGTCCTGCAAAAAGGAATCTGCTAAAGGTGAATCCACTGCAAGGCTCACAAAAGAGTTTCAAGTATTTGTTTTGTAGATCCTCTACTCAGCAGCACTTTCTAGAAGAACTACACAGAAAGCTGCCAAGAACAAAATTTAGAGATAAACAAACAAAAAAAAATTAGGAAAATGGTCTTGTCAAAGCTCAAGATTGTTTTCCAAAACCTTCAACAGCTGGGAATGTTCCTGTTCACCAGCACCCTTTTCATCTTTGGAGAATGAAATCTCAAATATTCCTTAAGACAATAATACAGAAACCTCAATTTCATCCTTGGTTCTCACACACTGTTTTCATTCAAACACAAAAGGGAAAAATTTCCTTCTGCACCAACACTTCCTTTTTTTTTTTTCAAATACAAAACATCTCCTGAGTATATGGAAACCATTGCTCTGGCCAAAGCCAAAAGGGATTTCACTGCCCCTTTGAGATTTCAGCAGTGCTACAAACTGGGTAATTCAGAAGGCTGCAAATAAAAGCAGCAATGCTGAAATCCAGGAATTCCAACACCACCCTGCACCTTCCCAAACAACTCACCATTTGCCAGACTTGCATGATATTATCTTCTGATACAGAACAAATGACCCAGGGCTCATTGGGATTCCAGGAGAAATCTGAGATCTTTGCAGTATGACCACCATGGATGAACTGGCATTGGGGAAACCAAAAAGGGAATGGTTTGAAATTTGCACTGCAGGATGAGTAATAAGTGAAATTAATTAGTGAGAGTGAAAAGGCTCACCAACAGCTCTGGGGGACCATCCTCAGCATCCTCAGGGGATTGCTCCTCTCCAATTTTACTGCAAAAAAAAGAGAGGAAAAAAAGAAAATGTGTGGGTTGGTTTGGGGGTTTTTTTTTGAGGTGTGATGCAATGAATGAGGAATAGTTTGAGGAATTTGGGATTTACCTCAAGTCCCAAACGTTTAGCCTGCGGTCTGTGCCACTGGAGGCCAGGATGGTTTCATTATGGGGAGACCACTGAACCTGCAGACAGGATAAATTTAAAAGTGAGTTTTGAGAAGCTGTAACATTCCCCAACACTTCATTTTGTACCCTGAAAGCTCTACACAAACTCAAATTGATGCCAACACAAATACAAATAGTGTAAACAACATTTATCACAGGAAGACTTGTGAATGTTCAAAGACAAAAAAAGACATTTCACCAAAAAGGTGCCACCTGGAACTTTTCCTCTAACAAACCCCATGTGTTTCCCAGTGCAAACAGCTCCAAGGGTACTGGCTGCTCCTTATCTTAACAAGGATTGCACAAACAGAACCCACAGACTCCTTCAGCAGCAGGCACAGCTCTCACATGAAAAGAAATCACTGTAATTAAGCTTAACTGCCCAAAAGCTCACATTTGCTGCTCCTGCTGGAGATAAAGCTCTCCAGAACACACCACTTCTAATAGGATCACAGGATTAGGAAGGAACACAGAATTCTGCACACTAATGTGGCATTTCAGGATTCTGTAATTTTATTTAGACATAACACAGTCTGAACTGATAATCCCTCCACCAAAAAAACCCCTCTGCATATTTTTCCTCTGATTAAGGAACGAGTTGGAGACGGAAATATTTAATCTGCTAAGCAGGTGCTGCCCATGGAGTGAACATTCTCTATTTACAGCAGCAAAATCAGCAATTATCTTTTGTCAGAGAGTGTTAAAGCTTCCTGCAGGAGCAGGCTGAGGAGATGCAAGCACTGCAGCCATTTCCCTGGCCTCCTGCTTCAATCTGCTGCCATGAATAATTTAATGGACTCTGCACTGCTACCATTTCATCCTCCTGCTGTGGTTAAAGCTCCAGAGCATTTCCCTGATCCCTTTCTGGACTCTCTTTCTGCATGGGAGCTCTGCAGGTCCACAACAACAACACCCAGAAAAATATAAGCAGATAAAAGAAGAGAATATCAGGTTTTAAGTGCAAAAACATTGTGGAAGAACTACTTTCCCTGTCCAGGCTGCTGACTAGAACTAAGTCTGTGAGGATACAAGATAAAGACTTTTTTTATACCTGAAATATTTCATCTTTATGTGATTCAAAGGAGTGCAGCTTCAGTTTTAGGTTCCTCAAGTCCCATAGAGCAACAGTCTAGAGAAAAAAAAATAAATATTTTGTTGAAGTAACCAGCACGGACATCCACCCCAGAAAGTGAGCAAGGACATTCCAAGGTGCAGGCACAAGTACCTTATCAGCTGATCCTGTGGCCAGGATAAACTCACTGTAGGGGTTGAAGGAGAGGCAGTTCACCTCAGCTGTGTGAGCATCCACAGAATGACTGGGCTTGGAGGTGTTGTTCGACCGCGTGTCCCAGCTGGAGGGAAAACATGCAATGAACAGAGGTTTGCACCCATCTCACCCATCATGGAGATGGGAAAGCCTGAGGGGCACAAACAAGCTGTGAAGGGGGTCCCTCACTTACATCATGAGCTTCTGATCATCAGCCACAGATCCAAAGAGGGATTCATGGAGCAGGTGCCAGGACACATCTTCCACCACCGCTGTGTGTCCCGTGAAGATGGTCTTGGCATCCACCACTTTGCCTTCTTTGGGAACAGCACTGATATCCCACAAGCAAATGGTCTTTAAAAGAACAAAAAGGTAAAAATGTACATCTTTAGACCCTTTTCCCTCCTCCCCCTCAAACCCAGGGTGTTTTTGTCCTTCCCAGGGCACAGCAAGTGCAGGTTGAGCCCAAGCACTCACGTGATCGTCAGAGGCACTCAGCAAGTGCCCGCTGAGGTTGGGGTTCCAGGAGAGCCCATAGCCCTCCTTCTGGTGCCCACGCAGACGCAGGTCGGGGTTGCACTCTCCAGAAGGATCTGCAACAAGGCAGGGTAAGCATTCCAGGGCCTGAATCATTCCCAGCACATCCTGGAATAGCTGGCATTAAGTTTATTGAACTTTAACCCAGTAGCCACCTCCAAATTTCAAACCATTCCCCTTTGGCCTGAGTTCCAGCTGGAGGGAGGAACAGCAGCTCAGCTCTTCCTGCTCAAAAAACTTCTCCTCAACACTCAGAAATATAAAGTGGGATGTTTCTTTCCTCTCATCATCTCCAACTGCACTTCTTAAGTGAGGAAGACACTTCTGATCCTCCCCACAAGCAGCAAAAGGAATTACTTTAAACAACCTTGATGAGTTCATAGGTAAATGACTGTTAATGTATTTACAGGATATCAGGGGAACAGCTCAGCTACCCACCAAATCAATCCCAGTTCCCAAAAATCCACCTTCTACCACCTGAAATACCTCACAGTGAGGTGACAAAACAAGCAGTGGAAGTCCAGGAAAAGGTTTCCTTTTCCAAGGATGCATTTGGATACATCTGTTTAAACTTTGTACAGAATAATCCCTTGAATAAACACCCACACGTCCCTAAAATCCCAAATAAGGGGCAACCCACACCATTTTTAACCTCTTTTTTGACCCTGGGGGGATGAGCTGGCTGCTCTCTGGGCACAGACCTGGCTTGGAGGGGTGTTTGGTGTAATCAAAGACCAGGACATCACTGGAGGGAGTCTTGGTGGCAATGATGCAGGGGTTCTGGGGCATGTACCGCGCCCTGTTCACCTCTCCCTCGTGGTTTATCTTGATCTCAATTTCAATTTTTCCACTTACTGAGCCAAAGCCTCCAAACTCTAGGAAAAAGAGAGTTGTGAATAATAAAGTCCGTTTCAGAACAAGGCACAAAGAGTTGGTTCAAGGTTTGCTACCAAGCTCTCAGAATAGACAGAGTTGTGGTAAAAACAAATCGCCATTTTAGGACTGTCATACAACTTGTTAAACCTCATCTTTACACATAAAATAAATTAGTAATTCATAAAACTGCAAAATTTGGGCAAAATAATGTGTTTTGGATTATTTTAGAATTCATTTAAAATACTTTTGAGAAATACTGAAGTAGAATAGAAACATACATTTATTAGAGAACCCTGTGTGCATAAACAACTTTAAGAAGCCCAAAGATCAAAATACTCATTGCACAATCCAAACTTCCTGTAAAAAGCAGAGCAAACATTGGATCATTAAGGACTTTCACCAGGTGGAAAGACTGATTCAGCCAAGCAAACAGGAGAAATGTCTAACTTGGGACAGCCACAAAGATTACAAAGCATCAAATTCTGGTCTGATACATGGAATAAAACACAATTTCACCCTAGAGGGGCTGGGACAGCAATCAGGCAGCAGAACTGTCAGACAAACGGAGAATGTTTGAAATGCTACACCCCTCTGAAATAAAAATATTCTTTTACACGAGTTTGTGTAAAAATGTTTTGCGTGACTTTGCGTAATGCAAATGTGGTAATAAAAAAACCAATTAAAGGCAGTGTGTGGGATTCAAGGTCAGTTCCCGAGAAATAGGGAAGGGAGAGGTTTTCCCACACAAATATTTTTGCAATTAACCTCTACAGTCTGTTTTCATCGTTAGAAATATTAGATTAGTAACACATTCAACAAACAGAATTTGTCTGTTAAGGAGGCACCACTTAGAAATAAATTTTTTTAGAAGTAAAATCTGAACTTTGCTACCTGAACTTTAGGAAAAGACAAATTTTCTACTGAGAAAAGAAGGGGGAAATGGTTGAAATCCCCCTTTTTGGGCTCTCACCTCCTTTCTCACTGTCATAATGGGAAGCATCAAACTGGGCATCGTCGTTGGGCAGCTGCACGCTGGCAATCACCAGGTGGTTTTGTTCATCTGAGGTGTGGGTGCCCAGCACCAACCTGTGGATGCTGAAATCTTTGCCTTCAGGCCTGCAGGGGAACAGAAACACCACAGGGATCACAAATTCTCTTCCCTATGAGGATGGGGAGGTGCTGGCACAGAAGTCGTGGCTGCCCCATCCCTGGAAGTGTCCAAGGCCAGGCTGGACAGGGCTTGGAGCACCCTGGGATGGTGGAAGTGCTCCTGGATGAGATTTAAGGTCCAAACCAGTCTGGGATTCTGTGATCTCAACCTAAAAGTCAGCACAATCCTGGATTTGCTGCTTGTTCTGCTTTAAAGGGGTCCCTTTACCTTGTGACATCAGGCAGCCACTGAGCAGTCAGGCTGGGCCACTCCAGGGCATGGGTCATCACCAGGTCATACAGGAAGGGGGTGTTCTTCTTCCATATCTTGTACTCCTCGTTGATCACACGCTCTTCCACTGCATCATCAAAGGCTGCTGAAGTGGCTCATCAGAAATACATACAATTAATTATTTATAAGTGGACTTACAGGCACACAGCGCTGTGGGCAGGCAATGGGTTAGAGTCAAGTACACCAATCACATCCTGGTTTGATACTTATCTACTGGAGTAGTTACTAAATGGTTAAAAACCCCCTGTTGCACATGCTAACGCTTTTTTTCTGCATATATGGCTGGGAATTAATATTAATTATGTCAAATTTCATGCCTGGAAGTGTCCCAGGGCTTGGGATAGTGGAAGGTGTTCCTGCCATGGCAGGGGTGGAATGGCATGAGTTTAAGGCTTGATTTGATGATGATGGTGTTGGAGCAGCTCAATAAAACTGTGAGACTCAGAGTACAGGGAGACAAAACCCAGCCTCGTAACGATGTTCAAACGCAGGAGATCCAGCAGTTGCTGTTCAACAAACCGGTCTGGGCGCAGCCTTGAACTGCTCATCCCCAAATTCCAGTTTCCCAAGGCTCCTTCTGCTGCCTTGTCGCTTTCAAACGCTTTCTCGGCCCATCTGTCACCAGCCTCCGGTGCAGAGGAGGCGGCGACGGGCAGACCCGGGGGAGCTCAGCGGCGGAAGGGGGGCACCCCCAGGCAAGCGGGGATACCCCCACGGAACCGGGGACACCCCCACGAGAGCGCAGCTCACCCATGAAACGGAGGCACCCCGGCCGAACCGGGGCCCCCTCAGGGCGCGCGGCAGCAGCCGGTGACCCCGCCTTGTCCGGCCGCCGCCCCCGCAGGGCACGGCCCGGCTCTCGCGGCCTCCCCAAGCCCCCCGGGGGGCACGGGGGCGGGCAGCAGGGCCCAGCAGGGCCCGGCCCGGGCCGCTCTGCCCGCTCCGTGCGGCGGCCATGGCCCCCTCAGGCCCCGCCCCGCGCGCCCCCTGGCGGCGCCGCCCCGCTCCCCTCACGCCGTACCGGATGGCGGGGGGGGCACCCCGCGCCTCACGGCGGAGGCCGCGCCCGCCCGTACGGAGCCTTTACCTTCCTTGTCCGCCATGGCGGAGCGGGGGGAGCGCGGCGGCGGCGCGGAGCGAGGCGGGGCGGGCTGGGCGAGGCGGGCGGGCGGTTCCTGCGCTCGCTGCTCCGACCCCTCCGGCCGCGGCTCCGTCTATTGTTTCCTGCCCCCGCTGCGTGCGGCTCCCGGCGCCGCGCACCCCTTCGCGCGCCAACGCCGCCCAATCAGCGCCCGCCGCCGGGGGGCGCCGGCCAATCGGCGGAGGGCAAGGGGGCGGGGACGGGAGCGCGCGCGGCGGTCACGTGGGAGGGCTCCCCGTGGGAGCCGCCATTTTCCGGAGCGCCCCCAGCGCGCTCTTAAAGGGGCCGCGCCCCGCGCTGAGGGGCGGCGGGTCCGGGTTTGGTGCCGGTCCCCGGTCCCCTCTCCCGGTCCCCGGTTTGGAAGAGCCGGTGTCTGCGGCTCCTCCGGCCACCACAGACGCGGGCAGAGCGTGTCGGGGCGGGAGCGGAGCGGTGCGTGTGTGGGCCGAGGCCTCCTCGCAGGGCTGCCCTGGCACCACCGGGGATCCTCGGCGTTATTAATTCTCTCTAATCACGAATATATTCCCTTTTTCCACAGTTCGCTGCCGCGGTGAGTTTTAGAGGTGTGATATTTGCTGGTTCTGCTGAGGGTAACCCGGGACCTGACTGCTCACAGCTGAGGCTTAACAGGCTTAAAATCAAATATGAAATAAATATCTGGGTTTATTCCTCAAGGGATACCCCGAGGTCTCAGTTTTGGACTTCTCTTTCCAACACACTTAGATTTTAGCTGAAATTAAAGACTGGAAATTCTATGTCTTATTTCTAAGCCTTGGTGTAAGAAGCAACTCCTGTGTAAAAGTTAAGGGATATCTGTAAATTATCTGTATTGGGTTGGGCTCAGCTGTGGAAAAATCTTATAATGCACAAAAATATTAAAGAATAGTTATGATGTCTGGAAATCTGGAGAGGAAAATTCATTAGCCTGAAGTTAATTGGGTTCTTCAGTTTGTGTCTGTTGGATTTACGGGAGAAAAGGAAAACAGCAATTTGTGAGATTCTGCTTTTAAATGGGGGAGTTGATACAGTTCTGTTTGTTTGTTTTATTTTAAAAATCGTCCAGGAAAGGAACACAGGAAACCCCTGGCATTTGGGGGACAGCTGGATTTGTTCTTTGAGGTCTGCAGGTTTTAAGGTAATCCTTGTCCTGAGAAAACACAACTTTTTTCCTAAGAAAAAGAATCTTCTGTAAGGTCACATCAGGGGTTTTTGGGGCAGTGACACTTCAGGTGTGTGATGTACAATGGGCTGAGCACCCTCAAAAAAAATCAGAAAATTAAAATTTACCTGAAGCATGAGAGTTTAATTCACTTGACAGCTGTTCCCATCAGCTGTATTTTATTAATTGTGAATGAATGGAATGCTCAGTGTACACAAGGAGGAAAAGACACAATTCCTAGAAAAGGCCCAAGTCCACAATTCCCATAAGGAATATCTTCCCTTGGCTCTGCTGGCTGGACAAACTTCACTTGGTGGGTTGGCTGCCGACTTGCTCCCTTCCCAGTCTGACCCAAACTGAAATGAGGATCCAGCCCTGGGCGAAGCCTCCCCTTCCCCACAGGCTGAAGGAGTCGAGGGGAGGGAGAATTGCTGCCTCTGCCCCGCAGCAGGAAGGGAGGGAGCCCTGAGCAGCCCTGATGGCAGCTGAGGACAGGGACTACAGCCTGACCCAGGAGCAGCAGGCTGTGAAGGACAAGTACCCCCCTCTCTGCAAGAAATATGAATGTGAGTATTTTATTTTATTTTTTAATTTTTAAATTTAATTTTATTTTTATTTATTAAAACATGATCGTGATTCAGTGTAGGTGTGGCAGTGCTGTTGTGAGGGCAAGGAAGATAACAGGAAATACAGAAATGAGAAACCAGTTTTCTTCATCGTGCTTTTCTTGTTATGGGCACTGGAAAAAAAAATAATACCATAGAAATAAATTACTAAAGGCCCACCCTGAAAACTTTTCAAAATATTACCATAGAAATAAATTACTGAAGGCTCACCCTGAAAACTTTTCTGAGCCATTTCTTAGCAATTTTTTCTACCTCTGATGTGGGAAGGGACATTCAGAAGTGTGCTGGGTTTGTGTGTGTGTTTTCACTCTGCTTGAAGATGATTATCTGCCTTTCCCCACCCCTGGAATGTCTCCTCCAGCATGTGGGTGGCAGCCCAAGGGCCAGCTCCAGGCAGGGGACCCTTCCCTGCCTGGATTTTGTGTCACAGTGCCTGTCTGGGGGGACAGCCTCTGTTATCTCTGATAGAATTTACATTTTTCAGCTCTTACTTTGCTGGAAGTGCAGAAATTGTGACACATCACAACAGCCATGCAGTTTCCATAACTGGAGGAGGTTTTATCCCTCTTTTGCATCCAGAGGAATTTGTTTGCTTTAGAGACTGTTGTTGAGAACCCTTTAATAGTGTATGATCTCTTTAAACAGCACCAAATTTTTTTTCCAGTTGAAGTGAGCATTTATTTCACATCCCAACTTACCTCTGCTGGATGTTTGCATTTCTTTCATTCCTCTGAATCAATATAAATGAGGTTCATGTACAGCTGGACACATGGGATGTTACTCATGCTCCATGAGTAAAGTTTGTCTTCTCTTTTATATTCCATCCTATATTTTAAATTCCTGTCTTTGCATAATGGCTGCTTTTGGGTGTGGACAGGTAGATTTCCTCACTGAGCTGGAATTATTTGCAGATCTCACCCTCTGCATGAATAACTTTCAGTCCTGCAGACTTCAGCATAAACTCTTTACTCCTGGTGAAAGTTTTCTTTTTATTGCAGTTAACTTGTGGACGCCTGTTGGGTTATAGCAGCCAAACCCTGCACTGACATAATCACATTAAACAGGGGTTTTTGGGCAGAAATAATCCAAAATTCCACCTGTGTTAAATTGTTCCAATATACTCCAAAATAGATTTATCACGTCTGCAGATAAATGTAAAAATGTTTTATTAGAAAATCAGCTGTTTATGCTATTTTTTTTTAATCCTCATGTTATAAAACCTTTGGTGACATCATTCCTTTTCTTTTTGCTTCCCCTCAGATTTGGATCACACAGCAGACGTGCAGTAAGTGTGGGCAGCTGGGATTTCTCAGGGTGACAAATTGATTCTTTTTTACACTGCTTTAAGCCTGCAGGAACAGCCAAGGACACTTTGCAGATCTAACACCTTGTGGGACTCTGAAATTGCACTCACTGGGTGCTTTGATATGGTCAATTCTGTTCCTGCTTTTGGGACACCATAGAATTATGTTTGGTTTCTTTCTAGTATTTCAGTGGTGCTTCTGACTAAGCCCCTGTGTTACTTGGAAATGTCTTTTGAAATCTCCTTTTAAACAAAATTTCTTCTATGTATAGACACCAATTAGCCACATTAGGAAATAACTTTCTTGGTGGCTGATAAAACATTTATTTTCCATGTTCTCCCAAGAAACTCTTCTGACAAACTTATCCTTCTAGAAAAAACGGGTGGCTTTTTACTCATTCACCTCCTCTGCCTGAATTCCTTGTTCTGATTTCTCACCTGGGGCTGTTTCTTTTTGCTGTGATCCAGTATTTTATTGCAGTGATTGTTCCATGGGTTTTTTTGGGGCTCCAGTGATTGTTCCATGTGGTTTTTTTGGGGGCTCCAGTGATTGTTCCATGTGGTGTTTTTAGGCTCCAGTGATTGTTCTATGGGTTTTTTTGGGGTTCCAGTGATTGTTCTATGGGTTTTTTTGGGGTTCCAGTGATTGTTCTATGGGTTTTTTTGGGGTTCCAGTGATTGTTCTATGGGTTTTTTTGGGGTTCCAGTGATTGTTCTATGGGTTTTTTTGGGGTTCCAGTGATTGTTCTATGGGTTTTTTTGGGGTTCCAGTGATTGTTCTATGGGTTTTTTTGGGGTTCCAGTGATTGTTCTATGGGTTTTTTTGGGGTTCCAGTGATTGTTCCTTGTGCTTTCAGGCTCCATGCCTGGGGAGACACGCTGGAAGAAGCCTTTGAGCAGTGTGCCATGGCCATGTTTGGCTACATGACAGACACAGGCACTGTGGAACCCGTGGATACAGTGGAGGTGCAGGCAGAAGGTGAGGACTGAGCTTCCATGGAGAGCTAAGACAGTGAGAAAGGCACCAAAAATCTCAACCTTTACACACAGCCTTACTACAGTTAATTAAAATGTAATTCAGCATCGTTACTGAATCTCCTGTACATCTGAGGTGCTCCTAAAAATGTTTTCTTGGCTGAGACAATCTCTGCTTCAACCACACAGGGCATGACTTGTTGTCTCTTCTCTTCCACTTCCTGGATGAGTGGCTGTATAAATTCAGTGCTGATGAGTTTTTTATACCCAGGGTAAGTGTTCTGCTTTCAGCTTTTTCCATTTGTAGGGCAAGGCTGTTCCCTGATAATCCCAGCTCTGAATGCACTGGTATTTCAGGGGAAAAAGGAACACAAGAAGTACAAGGCCAGGCTGGATGGGGCTTGGGGCAAGCTAGGCTGGTGGAAGGTGTCTGAGCAGTGGGAAATAACCTTTGTCAGTGGCATTTACTGGGAATTTCTGCCTGAAGGTAGGAGGTGTGACTGACACATTCTCCTCCCACTCTCTGCAGGAAGTGAAAGTTCTTCACATCGACCGAAGGCAGTTCAAAATAAGATCAATTGGGTGAGCTTAAACCCTTGTCTGAAAATGCATTGTGGCCTTTTCTTGCTTCCTTTGAGGCTTTAAAGGAAAATCTCACTGCTCTGTGCTCATCACTGAAGCTAGTTATAGCATTTGGTAAATATTACCAAAATTCCAACACATCTCTTTTATTTTTTGCCTTTACAGGTGGGGAGAAACATTCTCTTTAGACAAACACCCTCAGGTAGGCAGTGGTTCCTCTTTTCCATTTTAGGGGAAGGAGGTGTGATGTTCTTTAAAACCAGACCTCTGAGTTCTGCAGAGATCAAAATATAAATGTGGCTGAAGTATCACTGAACTCAAGATCTCACTTCCTGCGTGGTTTGGTGAATGTGTCCCTGAAACTGAGCATGACATTTCCTCAAAACTCAACAAATTAACTCAATTGGCTTCCTTTTTGTGATGTTGATAACACAGAAAAATCAATCTATATTCAGAATTTTTGTGTTTGGGTTTCACACTATTGGTACAGATTTCTGCTTAGTCAGTTTTTGCTTTTTTCTTTCTTTTTTTCCTAAAGTATTGTTGTAAGAAGCAAAATCCAATGTCTTGCTCTGTGTCATTTTTAGCATAGCAAATATTGATGGTCTGTCAGAGGTAAAAGAAGGAATTTGTGATATTAAGAGGCAATAAAATAAGGAAATAATTCCCTTTTCACTATGTGGCCTGGCCATTAGTGTGGCAACTTCCTTATTCATCAGAACAAATATAACTACAGCTTTTTGGGAGGAAAAATGGATAGCATTTGAGGAAAGGGATGAGAACTGGGGGTTGTGAGCTGGTAAAAGAGATAAAATTTAGAAAATCTATGGTTTGTGTCTCTTTTCTAGGGCACAGAGGTCAAAGCCATAACTTACTCAGCAATGCAGATCTGTGAAGATGAAAAGCCAGAAGTCTTTGTCATCATTGATATTTAAAACAAGAATGGTGTGGTTGGGTGGTGGTTGCTCATCATCTGGCAAAAGCCCCCTAAAACTGTAATCCCTGTGGAAAAAACTCTGGAATTGGCCAGTTAAAATCAGAAATTGAAGGGAGAAATTGCAGGGAATGTCAGACTGTTTTCACAGAGACAGAATAAGAATTCTTTGAGGTTTGGGGGGTGTGGAGAAGGAGAGGTTTGTACAGGCTGGAAGAGTCCCAGGAATGCTGGCAGTCAGCTTTTCAGGCTGGTACATGTGCTAGGGGCTGTATGAAATACAGAAATTGCTGGAGCTGATAACTAAAATACTCCCTGTTTGCAGTGTGGCAGGAGATAATGTTCATCTAGATTGATTTCATTTGCATATTTCATGTTCTAATTCTGAGCTGACATCCCTCCTCCACATTCCACAAATCCAAAATAGCTGCAGTGGCTCAGATGTAATGTGGGAAAAAATCTTGAGTTTTAAAATTAGACACCTAAAAAATGATGCCAATTAAACAAACAAACCACCACATCTTTTAAGCTGCTTTAAAAAGAAGTCATGCCAGCAGGTGGTGCTGAATTGCTGTAAATAAATTGCCACGTGAAATCTTAAAACCTGTGACTGTGTACCTGAAATCCTCTTTTATCACCTGTAAGTCTCAAAAGTTGGCAGCTTTGCTGCTGTGGTGGAAGGGAATGGAAAGGGATGTCCCAGGTTCTCCCTGGGTTCACTCCCAGCTGTATCTTGTGAAAATTGAGTCTTTTTTAAAAAGCATGGTTTGGATCAGCCTAATTGTCTTTTTAAAAGAACAATAGAGACAATCCTTAAATGTCAAAGGATTATGGACTTTACTGAATCAAAATTAATCAAAAATAATCAAAAGTGTGTTGTTTTGGTTTCTTTCTTTAAATTACAGGATGGCGAGTGTGCATTACCTGCTGTTTTAATTTAATTTAAATGTGAGGAGCATAGGCCTGGCCTGCTCTGTTACCATAAATGCTCCAAGTGCCTCACTGTGGTGTCTCATCTTGTAAAGTCATCTTAAATAGTTTTGGTTTTATTTCCGTGCTGTAAAGACTGAGGGATAAAACCTTTCTCATTTTTTAAGCAAGCCTCAATGCCAAAATAAAACTTGGACTGAAACATTAATGGCTTTATGAATGATCTTGACTGGTTAATTCAGACACAAGTGAGTTACACTCGTGCTTTGTCCTCTGCTGAGGTGAGCAGACTCTTTTATCAGTAAGAACTGCAACATGCCAGTTTAATGGTACAGAATAAGTGTGATTTTCTTCAGCTTGAGGTTTCTTTCTGCTCACGCAGAGCCCCAAAGGCAGCGAGGGCGCGGCCGCCATTGCGGCCCCTCAGGAGCCGCGCTGGAACATCATTGGCTGGCTGGGTCACGTGACCGCGCTCGGCCAATCGGGCCTCGAGTTGAGGCGGGGCTTTGTTCTCCACAGCCTGAGGGGAGAGGGACGCGGAGCGAGGGTCGGTGGTGTGGGGAGATGGACACGGAGCGAGGGTCAGTGTGTGAGGGGAGATGGACACGGAGCGAGGGTCGGTGGTGTGGGGAGATGGACACGGAGCGCGGGTCGGTGGTGAGGGGAGACGGACACGGAGCGAGGCTCGGTGGTGAGGGGAGATGGACACGGAGCGAGGGTCGGTGCATGAGGGGAGATGGTGGTGAGGGGAGACGGACACGGAGCGAGGCTCGGTGGTGAGGGGAGACGGACACGGAGCGAGGCTCGGTGCGTGAGGGGAGAGGGAGCCGGACCGAGGCTCAGTGCGTGAGGGACTGAGGGGAGCTGGGCAAGGACCCGAGCCAGGGCTGTGGGGAGGTGAGTGAGGGCTGGGGCTATCAGGAGATGGGCAAGGACCTGAGGGGAGCTGGGTGTAGGAGCTGAGGGCAGCCTTCCTTTAGCCCAACTCTCTGAAACATGAGAGAATAAATTTACGTGGTTAAATTTTAACTTTGCAGACAAATGCTGAGGTTCCCCAAGATCAGTCTCAGGCTATAGTAACACACTGAAGTGCTCTACTTACTGAAATGCTGACAGTAGGCTGCTAGGAAAACATTTGGAATTAACTAAGTGTTATTCATATTTTTTTTCAATATTTATTAAGTACTTACTATAAATCGGGCCTAAAATCCACCTTGTTCCATTTGCACAGCTGTGGCAGTGGCAAGTTTCAGCTGACAGTGCTGCTCTCCCAGGGCTTTACAGGAGGCCGCTCAAAGTGGTTCATTAAAAACACCCTTAGACTGCAAACCCTTCTGGGGCTGCCAGAGGATCCTGCAGATGTAGGAAGGTCAGGGATTGAGCAGTGAACTACTTGGAAAAGAGCTGCATTGGTGGTTACTGAAGGGAGAAATCTCAAGGAGAACTGAAAAGGGCTGGAGATTGGGAGAGCATGAAGGAATTATTACAGAAGCTTGCCCCATTCTCACTTTGGCCAAGTTTAATGGCAGCTGTTGGAGGCAGAAGCTGGATGTGCATCAATATGGCTGTTCTCAAGTTCTCTGAGGGGAATTTCTGCTTTCTTGGCAGGAACCTCAGAGTACAGATGCTGCTAACAGGAAAGGAAACACAGCATCAGATGTGACATGAGACCAAACAGTGGCTCTTTATCAGAAGTACCCACTGGCAATGCCATTCTCTGCTCTCAGGTAGAAGGTTGCTTCTGTGCACTCCTTGAGCTTTTCTTTTTTAATAATTTAATTTTTTTTTTTTTTAGTTGAGCATTTTTAGTTTGTCTACCAAATGCAGGTTCTCTGATCTAAGTGCCTAGGGAAATAAATGACTAAAAAACCTTAAGAGACTCCAGAACTACAAGAGTTACTTAACCTCGGAGGGAAATTGTGTTATAAAAAAATAGTTTTATGCTGTCAAACACCCTAAAGTTATAAAAGCAGGAGAGCCTTTCCAAAGTAGCTGCAAAGTCACAAATGTCCCACTGAAATTCAAGGGACTTGGCCTCTTCACTCCCAGAGTAAGATAGATGGGTTTAAGCAAATCTTGCATCAATCCTAGGAAAAGAAATTGAAAAAACCTGACAACTGCACTTCCAGTGATTGCACTTTTATTTCCTTGGAACCACGTTGGTGTATCTTTCTATAAAATTCACAGTACAAAAAAAAAGAGGCAAATTCATACTATCCAAGTGCACTACAGATGCTCTGGTCACCTACTCTACTCTGGCTGTGGGAGTTCCTAAATCATGCTTTTCTCAACTATTAGAAGCTGTAAAGTTCACTGAGAAAACAAAGCTCTCTTCAACAGGAAGAACTCCACTTATTTCCCTTGCTCCTTTCTTAGGAACTTTCTGATGTTATGTACAAATTTATTACAATCTCAGCAAAAAAAAAGTGGTTTAACATTTCTCAGCTGCTCACCTCAGGAAGAGTTATTCCAGATTAAGTTAGCAATATTTGGTTTTTAGAAATCTGTATCACACAGAACCTTTGCAGAACTGTAAACTGGTTCACACTTCCATGACGAGCAGGAGCTCTGAGCAAGTCTTTGATGAAATATAAAACAATTCTCCTAAACAGTTTCCAGATAAAAGTGAGCAGCTGAACTTCAATGTTCCTTGTGGGTCCCTTTCGACTCAGGCTATTTTATGATCCTCAGTACTTTCTGGATGACATTTAGAAGCAGTTACACTGTTCCATGTCTGCAGAACAACTTGTTTCAGTCCAGATGTTGCTTCTCAGAACAGAATTTTAGCAATACTTCATTTTATTAAAAGTAGTTGGTAGGACACGAGTCATTTCATCTTGGACACAACAATAACAAACACACAAAGATCTACCTAAGGTTTGGCTTCACCTTTTCCTTTACCTCATCTGGAATCTCATCGTTATTGTGTCGGACAACCAAATTATAGGGCTCCTCCTCCTCCACTGTCTCTTCATCTAATTTCTGCTCCTCCTCCAAATCCCACTTGGGGCCTTTGTTTCCCGTGGAGGAGACAGGAGAATGCTGAGAGGCGCTGAAGTCCTCGGGGCCGCTGTGGAAGCTGGCGTGTGCCAGGCACTTGTGGCACAGCCGGTAGCGCCGCGTGCCCTGCTGCACCACGCAGCCCGTCAGCTCCGTCACCTGGCGCTTGCACTTCCTGCAGATCAGTTTGCCAGCCTGGTGGATCTGAAAGGATTGAACATTTACACATTCGGCCTTCATTCATTTATTTTAGACTGTGAAAATTGTCACAGAGAGCAACAGACAACTTTCCCAGGCATCGTTCTGGAGAAGAATTAGATTTAAATAAAACAATTTTTATCTTAGCTTGCCTCACCTGGTGGTGTAAACATGTGGAATGTGTTATGGAAATTTGCTTAACAAAGGGTGATTTCTTAATTAGCCAGTAGTGATGGTGTTTTAATTAAACAACCCGCTTGCCTCACCTGGTGGTGTAAACATGTGGAATGTGTTATGGAAATTTGCTTACCAAAGGGTGATTTCTTAATTAGTGATGGTGTTTTAATTAAACAACCAATTAGGTCCACCTGTAGCAAACTAGGGTATAAAAGCATAGGTTTCTTAATGAAGATTATTATGAGCCTTCTATAAATGCATGGAGTCTGCGTCAGTTATTACCTGGTCCTGACCCTTTGCAGTGCCAGAAAATGTGTTGAATGGCGCTAAAAAATTAAATTTTAAATACAATTTGCCACATTAAACAATGAATAATTAAATAATAATAATGAATAATTAAACAACTCAAGCTGAGGCGCTGCTTTTCTGGTGTTGGGTTTGGAGATGCCTACACAGCTGCCACCAGCGAATTAATTCACACTTTCACGACGAGCAGTCTTTGCTGAACTACAAAGCAATTCTTCAAACGTGCCGGGTTTTCCTACCGTTTGGAAGTGGTTGCGGAGGTGCTCCAGGCGGGTGAACCTCTTGCCGCAGGCCTCGCAGGGGTAGGGCCGCTCCCCGGTGTGACAGCGCAGGTGGCGCTTCAGGTCCGCCCGCCGCTTCACCGTGTGCGTGCAGAACGGGCACTTGAACCGCGTGCGGGGCAGGCCACCTGCAGGACAGGGCACACGCACGGCTTCTCACTGCACTTGCACCAGGGCTCAGTTAAAATACACGACAGCTCGAGTTTTCTTTAAGTAGGAAACATCCCAAGATATGGATGCTTATGTATGTATTATATATATATATGTCATGTGGGTACAAAATGGGCACTCTAAACACATCCAGGGCAGGCCACCTGGCAGGACAGGGCACACAGCAGAGCTTTCTCACTGCACTTCCATCAGTGTTCAGCTTAAAATACGCAACAGCTCGAGTTTTCTTTAAGTAGGAAACATCCCAATATATGGATGCTTATGTATGTATTATATATATATATATATATATATCATGTGGGGACAAAATGGGCACTCTAAACACATCCAGGGCAGGCCACCTGCAGGACAGGGCACAGGCACGGCCTTCTCACTGCACTTGCACCAAGTTCCACTTGAAAATACGTGACAGCTTGAGTTTCCTTTAAGTAGGAAACATCCCAAGATATGGATGCTTATGTATGTATTATATATAATAATTTATCATGTGGGTGCAGAACAGGCACTTGAGATGTACCCAGGGCAGGTCACCTGGCGGGACAGGGCACACAGCAGAGCTTTCTCACTGCACTTTTCACCAGGTTTCAGATTAAAATACACAACAGCTCGAGTTTTCTTTAAATAGGAAAAATCCCCAGTATTTGGGATATTTGGATGCTTGTATAAGTATGTATTACAGTATATAATGATACATAGAATACAGGCTTTGGGGGATGTGGGAAATGGATTTATAGAAAATTTTCCAAGTTTGATAGGCTTACAAAGTATCTGTGTAAACTTAGAGATAAGAAATGTTGATTTGGGAATGTTATGGAATAAGACAGATATTGTTGAGAGATGAATTGAACTAAAAATAAGTTTTTAAAAATAGTTTTATAAATAAGGGGGATATATATTTATTAGATATATATCTATGTATATCCCCCAGCTTGCATTTTTATTCTTATTTAACATGTTAATTGACCACTTGATAGTGTTTTCCTCCTGACAACATTTTTTAGATATAAAGCTTATCATAAATATGCAGCTATTTATACATAGCCATCATATCTGACTCTTCCACCAGCTAATGCTTCATAGCTTTGACATTTTTAATCTCTGTGTGAAATATAAAGATGACTTTAGAATATGCAATTATGATCTACAGATGTGTTCATTTCCAAAGGAATGCACGTGGGAATAAACCTGTCAGCTTTGTTCCATCCTCTCGGGCAGGTGATGTCAGAAGTTTGGGCTGGTTGGGCCCCAAAATGCAACATCCCAGCAATGCCAGGACCTCTCATGTGAGGGACTTGGATTGGGCTGAGGTTGAACACCTCTGTTATTGCCACATACTGGAGAAACTCAGTCTTTCAGGTCCCCAGGCCAATTACAGCCCTTCAGGCTTCATTAAACTCCGCTTGGGCACAAATAATCAGGCATGTTTTGGTTGAAATTTACAGAATACCTGGGTCAGTCCCATTCCTATTCCCATGCCCTGTTCTGGCTTTAAAATCTTAGTATTAGCACAAAAATGAGCAGATAAAATCACCTATCATTCCAGGCAGGCTTTTGGTTTCCATGCAGCCATACAAATTCCTTCCAAATCACCATCCGAATTCTCCTAAATAAAACCAAACTTTTCCAAGCAGTTTCTATTGTTTACCTTCATTCCAGCTACTCATTACCCCTAAAATTGTGGGCATTGAGGTGTACAGTTCTTCTGCCTTTAACTCCATGAACTCAGGAGTTCTGGAAAGTTCTTGTTCTAGCTGAGCAACCGACCACCTCTTGGCTCCGGCCTCTGCTCCGGGATGGTATCCAAAGTCCTCCTGATCCACGTCGTTCTCAGCATCGAACTCTGCCTCGTCTGCTCCGTGGGAGATGTGAGCAGGGTCCGAGGCCCCGGCTCGCTCCGCTTTGCCCCCTCCCAGCTCCCAGCTCTGCGACAGCCCCAGGTGCTTGCGGCGCTTCCTCGTGGAGCCCTGCTTCCTGCCCCTTCTGGACAGCTGCGTCTCTGCCCGCTGCAGGATCACCTCTGAGGACAGGTAGCTGCTGTAACTGCTCCAGGAGTTTTCATTCCCGTTGGGTTTTTCATCCGGGATGGAGTAGGAGCGCCGGGGGTTGCTCTTTGCTTTCCTTCTGGAGCGATAAAGAGCCGGGCGGGCAGGGGTGGGCTCAGTGCTCTCACTCTTGGCCGAGAGGCTGAGGTAATGATCCTTTTCCTTTTCATTAATATCCAATGAGGACTTAATGAAGGTCTTGCAGACATTGAGGATATCTGTCATCTGCAGATAGCTGGCAGCTGACATGACTTCGATCACATTCTGACCCGTTAAAGACAATATCCCTGAATACACAAAGTCCAGGATGACCATGAACGTCTCTGGAGAGAAGACCTCGAACGTGGCTATTGTTGGCTGACTCGTCTCCTTCGAGCTCTGCGAAAGGAGCATTTTGAAGTAGCCACTGCTGGCAAACAGCACATTGCGATGGGCTTTGAACACCTTGCCCTCCACCAGGATGTTGCAGTCACAGAACAAGTCCTGCTTCCGCTGCTCGTTCAGCTGCTCCAGGAGGTGAGACTGGTGGGAAGAAATCTCCATTCCAGGCGGGGAGTAAGAGGAACGTTTGCTGTAAAGGAAAAAACATCATCGTTATAATCTAAATCAATGATGCTGAATCCTAATTTAAAGAGATGAGCTCTGTTTTAAAAAGCGCTATCACATTCCCAATGCATCTCCAATCTCCCCGCGGCCGCTGCTCTGCATAACAAGAGACAAGAAACTTAACTCCAAAAGAGCTGAAAAGATGTCCCAGCGGGATTACTCCGTATCCCAAAAGAAAGAAAATTATGTCGACCAAGCCATGGTGGTTCTCGGACTCTGCAAGAGAACTTGGCCCTCCCGCCCTGGTCAGAGCCGCGGGTCCCCGGTGGGCGCAGCCTCCGCCCCGGCGCATCGGGACCGCTCGAATGCGGCGGCAGCGCCCCGGGATCGCCGCCCTCCCGGCCCGAGCCGCCGGCATTGGCCGCGGAGTGCAGCCGCAGCCCGGCGCCCGCCTCGGCCCCAGCGCCCGCGCCGCTCCCGTGCCCGCACCCACACGCTGCTCCGAGGCCGCTGCCCCGCTCGCACGGGGCTTTGTTGCTGCTACCTTTGTGTGCGAGGAGGGAAGGCGCCACCTGAACGGGAACGGCAGAGATCCGGAGCTCCGCGGTGTAGGATTAATGATGTTAAGTCGATATCGCAGCATTTTTATAACGGGGTTTTTGTATTCAAACAATGAGGATAATCCCAAAGCAAAGCGCTGCACGTAGGAGTGCAATACACAGATTGTCCTGTTTTCCCTTCTGGGTGGAAGCTGGAATCAGGAAGCCTGTTAGAAGACAAGACGCTTTCAAATTCGTGCCTGTTAGATGAGATTTCTTTTAGTCTTATTCCTGGAGATCATGGAAGAATTTTGAGAAGGAAGCTCTGCAGTCATCGGTACAGTCCCCTCCTCAGAGCAGGCTGCAAGAACCTGGCAAAGGACAGTTCCCATTTCCACAGCAGGCGTCGGCTGAGATCTTCAATAGTGTTTAATTTATTCCAGCAGCTAAGCCAAGATAGGGAAGGCTCTTTCCAGCCACTCCTCCCAATTTTCCGTACAAAATCTCTTGTTCTGCGTCCTTGCTCTGTTTAAAATTCTTGATGCACTGAATAAGCCTCCTCTTTGCATTTCATGAGTTAAGTAGGATGAAAGGTTACGGCTCCAATGTAGAAAGGTTTTAAGTTAAACAGTATAGAAAATATTTAACTAAATGATATTATAAGCTTTTCTTAGTAGCTTATCAACTTATACCCATCACTCAACAGACAGTGTTGGCATGAATTTGTACCTCATGGAAAAATTCTGCAAGGCAAGGGCTGGGGGATTAGAACAGCCTTTTCCTCAAAACTCAATCTTTTGGGCAGAATTGGGGATTTCTGCTTCTATTTCATTTTTGTACTTGTTGCCTCCAAGCACCAGTAACTAAAATAGAAGAAAGGTAGACATTGGCATGGCTCTGTAATGGGATAACTCTGACAGTGACCAGATGCTTCAGGGAAGAAATGTATATTCCATTATTTTATATCCAACAGAGTGTTTTGTGGGGTTTTTTTCTCTTTAAGTTGAGATGAAAAGTTGAGATGGATCCCAAAATCCTGGAGGATGGAACATTCTGCAGAGCCAGGAGTAAGGGAAGGATACCTGTAGCAGTCAGAGTCAGCCCTCTGGGAGATCTGTGGGCTTTCAGTATTTTCAAAGCCACCCTAAATCAATATTCTTGCTTTTTCTTTCTTATGTCAATTCTTTAGAAGTGGAATAGAATCCAAATTACAAAAGGCTGGAAAGGGAGATTCATTCTGAAGTCAGTCTTTAGGATTTTTGGTTTTTTTTTAGTGGGGCTGCCCAACTGTTTAACCTTTGAGATAAGGACAAGTGACATTTTTTGGATAGCAAATATGGATGTTTAGGTAATTTAATGGCAAACAGGAAAAAAAAAAAGGGAAATTATGTGAAAGAACTAATCAAGCATCACACAAGTCATAGGTTTTTTGGGGCAGAGAGAATTCTGTAAGAAACACCTGAAAAGGAAGAGAGGGAATTTTTAAATTCAGTATTTCAGCCTTTGAAAGGATGAGAAGATATTGTCAGAAAATAAGGATAGTTAAGAGACATTGATCAGAGGATGATGAACTTTGTCTTCACTCTTGACTGTGGTTTTGTGAATACAAAGTAAACACAAACCAGGCAAAAATAATCACAGAATTCTTGGAAAAGACCCTAACATCAAATCCAGCACTAAACCTTGTCCCTATGAGACATAAAGATGAAAGAAATACAAGGAAGTAAATAAATTCAGTGGGAACATCCCTGTGTGGTCTTTGCTTTCCTCCTTGAAAGGAAATGTTCCTTGTGCTGATGAGGGGCATGTGATCCTTACAGAAATATGAAGACAATCAGAGGCAATGGAAGGAGACAAAAAGAAAACAAATACTTTCATTTAGAGAAAAAAAAAGGAAAATATGTGAGTGTAAAATGAAGGACGTGGAAAACAGAAGGCACTTAACATTTATCTTGTCTTGCAATACAAAAAGAAGGAAACAACGACCAAAATTAAGACAACAAATGTAAAAATGGTAATTTTTAAAAAACAGAAAAACATCATTGACCTGTGGGAATCGCAGCCTTGAGCTAAACCTCCAAGCTTAATATGATACTTTAAAAATGACTACAGATATCTAGTTTTACTAATGAGAAGAACAATATATAAATCCAGAAAAAAGCCCTTATTTGCCCAGCAAATCAACAATTAATCTGCCTGTGTTTAAAAAGTAAAAGTCTTCCTGTGGATAGATTGTTCCATTTGCCCATCAGAGCCACTTCAGATGTGTTCTGAAGCATCTGCTCCTCAGTATTGTTAGATTTATGATCTCTAATTAAATTGAGTATTGATCCAAAAATCCCTTTGCTTCTAAAAACACCCCCACTATTAAGAAACACTTAATAGTCTGACCTTTGCAGCTGGCAGTTAAGATTTCAGGCCTGGAGAGAACACTTTGTTTTCCCCTCCCCTTCATCCATCCCCAAAGAAACCCAGACCAATTCCAGCCACGTTTTCACCCTGGGAGAGCAGGCACTGATACCTGGGATTTGTTGTCAAACTGTTTAATGGAAAGGGAAAGGGAAACATCTATGAAATTTGAGCAAAGTCACTCCATGTTCTGTGAAATATTTCTTGTTCTGTGTATTTGATTTAGTCCAGGTTGCTCAGGAATATTTCTAAGCCATTTAATAACAGGCATTTTAGGAGTTGAAAAGCTCCAAGAAATTAAATGTCTGTTTTCACACCAAGTCCATTTTTGAGCTGCTGACCAAATGTCCCATAAAATCAAGTGTAAGTCTTGTTTAAGATGTTTTCATCTGGGTAATCATGAAGATTTTTAAATTACCCCCACCCCAAACCTAAGCCAATCAATTCTAATTTTTGTAGGAACAATAAAACACCATTTCTTGTGTCCTTGGGATGCTTCCCATGAAGAGGAGGGTGCTTAATGCTTACACTGAATTTAGCATGAAGTTCTCCAGTTGTCATTTGTTGGTCACCTGCAGCCTGGAATGAAAATTCTGCACTCTCTGGTCATGATGATACAAGAAAGTTATACAATTTTTACACAACTAAAAAGAAAATAGTGACATTTTAGCTGTCCCTGGGCAAGGTTATATAGTACATATACATATACATATGAATGTGGGATTGTTGAGTAAGAAACCCGGGCTTCAGCCAAACATGCTTACAAAGCTGTAAAAAAGAAAAAAATAGATATCATTTTCTAAGTCTACAGCCATTGAGTCCCATGATCCCAAAAGTTGGAACAACACTCAGGTGTGTCCAAGGAATGCAGAGCAGCAGCACCCCAGGAGCATCTCCTGCTCCTCTCCTGTTGCCAGTGCTGGCTAAGAGAAACTCACCAAGCAGCAAAACCAAGCTCCATTTCCTAAAAAAGTAACATTTCTTCATCATAAGTCATCTCTGTAGCCTAATTGTGGGTGAACTGACACAAATATGGTGTCTAGAACTTCCAGTACATCTTGGTCTCAGTGGTGCAGACTGGAAAAGTTGCACAGAATTCAATATCCTGAGCTGGAGGGGACCCACAAGGATCATCCAAATCCAACTCCTGGCCCTGCACCCCAACAATCCCATCATGTCTGGGCACTTTTGAGAGGTTTCAAAATCTAAAAAAAGAGTATTTTAATAGTGCTTCTTAAAATAGCCCAGTCTGAGATCCTAATTTTGAGACTAAAACATTTACTGCCATCAATTAATGATCCAAATTTTTAATCAGTTTGTCTCTGATGTGTTAAGCATTTATGTGCTTATTTTCTTTTAAAGAAATCAGTCTTGAACATATGATCTACTAAAATTCATCTCATCCTAATAAATTTTACAGAAATCCTTTTCCAGACAAAAGTGCCAAAACATTTTAAATGCTCTTTCTTAATTAGCTGTTGTTTGCCTTATCATAACATGAAGATTTCATGAAATTTCATGGAAGATTCTCTTCACTTCTGAACACTCAAGAGAGGTTGTCTGGTGTGGGGAGTTTTACACTTTGTTTATGGCCCAGTGATATAAACCCCATCTCTCTCCAAGTGTAAAAATTGGGTAATTTACAATAATCTGCAACTTTTAAAAAGTATTCAGAGCTCCTTGCAAAAGGCTTTGAGACATGCCCCATTGCCTGCTATAAAAATTATCCATGTACTACTGCATTTCCTTGTTTATCCCTAATTCCAGGATGGATCTTTTTAACCAAACAACACATGGGGGTTCTGCTAACAAACCAGCATGGCCTCAATGACGTGTCCATAAATACATGCAAGTCTGGACCTGTTCAACCACATGTGTCTGTAGGATCAGCTGGCAGAGGGCATTTGCTCCCAGCACATCCTCCCTCTTCCACAGAATTCCCAATCCTTGTCTCTTCCAGCTACCTAATGTTTGGTTTCACTTCCTTCTCCTCCGCCTCATCCTCGCTGTCATCCACTTGCTGAATGACCAAGTCGCTGGAGCCATCCTCCACGATCTCCACGTCAGACCTGTTGTCCTCCCCGCCGTAGTGCCACCTGGAATCCTTGTCCCCGTCCTGTGGGAACTCCAGGGGAGCCTCAGCCTCCAAGTCAATGCGGATGCTGTCGATGCCAGCCTCGGCCAGGCACTCGTTGCACAGTCTGTAGCGCCGCGTGCCCTCCTGCACCACCTGCCCCGTCAGCTCGGTGACGTGCCGCTTGCACTTCCTGCAGATGGGCTTGCACGCCTGGTGGATCTGGGGACACCACAAGGGACGGAATGTTGAGTGTACGCAATTTTTTGGGAGGTGATAAAAATCAAGTCATGGCGTTGCTTCAATTTGAGAGGTGTCAAACACTGAACTGCACCAGCCCAGGCGTGGTAATTGCCCACTGGAGCTCTCACAGGCTGCAGAGAGCAGAACCTCTGCAAGCCATCAATTACCCAACAAATTCCTCCCCTTTCCTGCAAATTATCCCTCAATTCGACTGCAACCAAAGCAAATTAATTTTCTATTCCCCTCTTCTTTACAGGAGTCATTAGATCAACCAGATACACTCACGCTGTGTTTAATTAGCCAGATTTATACGTTAAATAAATCATGCAGTTGCTAAAAATACTCACAGTTCGAAAATGGCTGCTGAGGTGATCCAGCCTGCTGAACCTCTTCCCACACGCCTCGCAGGGGTACGGCCGCTCGCCCGTGTGACAGCGGAGGTGACGCTTCAGGTCGGCTTTTCTCTTCACCACGTGGCTGCAGAACGGGCACTTGAACCTCATCCTGGCCAGGTCATCTGTCAGAAAATAATAGGATTGAAAAAAAAAATTAAAATTGTGTCACGTAATGCTCTAGGAAAAGGTGTTTTACGAGAAGAATAGCACATCACTTTTGTTAAAATAATATTCACTGGTTGTTTCGAGCACAAAGGTTTTGTGTTTGCCTGTAGATTACACAGGTGTGCAATAAAGGAGGAGTGGACCATTGGCTGTATGAACACAGACCTGGTAAAGCCAGCCTCAGGGCTTGGAGCAGCCTGGGATAGTGGGAGGTGTCCCTGCCCATGGCAGGGAGTGGAGCAAAATGAGCTTTAAGGTCCTTTCCAACCCAAACCATTCTGTGATTTCATGAAAGTGAGCTTAAAAATATCCCAACTTATATTTATTTTTAAATTGAATACCCCAGCTACTTCAAGAAGTCAAAATTATTTCAAGATAATGAGTTAAACTTTCCAAACATACATTTCTGGACAATACACCTTCTTTGTGGCAGTTGTGCTTTACTATTGAGCAAGACCTGTTTTCTCAGAGGCAGAAGAGAGGATTCCCAGGTGTCTGAGCCCACTCACCTTCAGCCCAGCTCCCCATGACTCCCAGGATGGAGGGCATGCTCCCGTACTGCTCCTCAGCTTTGGAGGCCTTGGATTTGCCGGAGGAGCGGGGCGACTCGTGCTCCTGCTGGGACACGGCCAGGCCCCTGGGCAGCACCTCAGCCCCCTGGCCGAACTGGAAGCCCACGTGAGGAGCCTCCAGCTCCGTGTCGATGTGCACCTGCTCCTCGGGCGGCGCGGCGTGCCCGGCGGGCTCGGCAGCCCTGTCCTCCAGCTTGCTGGATTTATAGTGCGGGATGTCCGAGGGCTGCTGCAGCCCCGCGTGCCGCGGCTTCTTCAGGGAATCCTGCCGCTGCTCGTGTTTGGACAGCTGCTGCTGGGCATTTCTTTGAGAGCTGGGGTAATAGTTGAAACTGCCCCAAGCGTTGCCGCCCATCATGCACGTGGCAGGGTCTGGGCTGGAGTGGGAGTGCGGGGGGCTGCTCTCTGCCCTCCACCCCCCGCCGTACACACAGGAGCGCTCCACGCCGTTGGAACTCACATCTTTGTCTGACAGGCTGAAGTAGCGATCCTTCTCCTTCTCGCTGATGTCCAGCGACGACTTGATGAAGGTTTTACACACGCTGATCACATCGGTCATCTGCAGGTAGCTGGCAGCTGACATGACTTCGATCACATTCTGACCAGTGAGCGACAGTTTGCCTGAATACACAAAATCTAGGATGACTGTGAAGGTGTCAGGAGAAAAGGCCTGGAAAGTGGCTGTCGTGGACTGACTCGTCTCCTTCGAGCTCTGCGAAAGGAGCATTTTGAAGTAGCCACTGCTGGCAAACAGCACATTGCGATGGGCTTTGAACACCTTGCCCTCCACCAGGATGTTGCAGTCACAGAACAAGTCCTGCCTGCGCTGCTCATTTAGTTGCTGCAAGAGGTGAAACTGATGAGAAGAAATCTCCATCCCAGAAAAGGTGAAATGAAACGTTGTTCTAAAAAAATGAAGAAAATTATTACACTCTTGACTTCAGTGCTGTGTAACTCAGCCAAAAATGTCAGACCCCATTTTACAGCTATCTTTCCAAATAACAGCATTTCTTTAAATCTACAAATATATTTAAACCACGATATTCTCAACCATGGATTCATTTTCCAACAGGACAACAAGGATGACAAAGCCAACCCGCACTATTTGGCACAGATGGGTGTGCTCCAGCCGGGAGCATCCCCATCCCCAGGGTGCGGGGCTGGAGCCGTGCCGCCCGCGGGAGCTGCGCAGCCTTCAGGCAGCTCCGGCAAGACGAGGAGCCCAGAGCAGCTGCGGCTGCCACCGCGGCCTTGCCTCGAACGGGCGATTCCGCCTCGAACCGGCGGTTCCGCCTCGCCCGCTCCGCCCGGGCTGCGGCCCCGCCGCCGCCGAAGGCTCCGGGAGCGGGGCTCCGGCAGCGCCCGCTCCCGCAGCCCCGAGCCCTGCGAGCCCGAGCGGCACAGAAACAAAAGGTATTTGCTGACGTGGGCGTTGGACACGGACGCCCGAGGGCTGGGGACACAATTAAAGGGGCAACGCACCGAGTGCAGCCGCAGCCCGGCGCCCGCCTCGGCCCCAGCGCCCGCGCCGCTCCCGTGCCCGCACCCACACGCTGCTCCGAGGGGCTGGCGTGCCCCAGATGCTCCTTTTCACACCTTCATCTATAGCAGGGGCCTCCATGACCCAAATCCTTCGCCTTTCTCTTGCAGCGTCCTCCAAAGGAGATGTGACATCTTCTTTTCTCTGTTGGTGTCTGTTATCTTCTGAAGAAAGCATGGCTGAAAGCGAAACCTGAACCTCTCACCTTCTCTCCCTCGAAGTTTAGTATCTTTCTCCTTCCTCTTCTTACCACCAGGGTCTTTTCTGTGATTTTGACGCCCCAGTTATTTTTCATAAATATTTATTTTCCCATGGAAACCGTTCTTCCTTAACCGAGCCCTTTGTGGCATTTTTGGCCTTCCCTTCTCTAACTTCAGACATTCCACCTTGAAACAATTTATCTTTCTTTCCTCAGTGTAGCAAAATTGACTAAAGACTTTATCTAGAGATAACAACCCAAAGACTCTTTCCTTTAATCATTAGAACCATTCTCCTACTAATTCATATACATTTATTCATCTCCAATTTATATCCATTTGTATTTTGTATATGTATATGTTTATGTAATAATATTCTTTTCCAGCTTATTTCCCCCTTTTTCATAAACTTTCTTAGTTTTGTAGATTGTCCTTTCAAACCCAGGCCGTGATCTTAAAATCTTCATGAGACCCATTCTGCTTCTGTGAGATTCTAAATTAAACATTCTTGAACATGAAACAACTGGAATTCACCCCAGCTTCTCACAGCTCTTACCACTGAGAAATAAAGAATAGAACCAACTAAACAGTCAGATTGTTTAATGTATAAACCAGAACATTTATTTGTAGCATCAGGGTTTAGCTTAGTTTAGTACCATTTGAATTTATTAATTTAAAGTTTATTTTTGCCTGTCAAGCCAAGTGAGTAGCACTCTTTCTATTTAACATGGAGTCACAGAACCCCAGGGTGGTTTGGGCTGGAAAGGACCTCAAAGACCATGGCCAGGGACACCTTGTTGCTCAACATTCTACATTTTTTTTTCCACATTTCTGCCCAAATTATTTCATCAGCTGAAAGCTTCCCTTGGAAAAGAATTATCTGGAGGTATTTGTTCTGTTTGACTTGCCTGGGTGGTGCTTTCACTCCTGTCAGTGGGGCTTTGGATCAATGTCAACAGGAGCTCGAGGGTTCTCCTTCTGCCAGGAACAGGCAAGAGAATTTAAAAAATATGGGGGGAAATGTCAGTGTTATCTGGAGTGGCTTAATTAGAATTTTTAAAGATGCTACAAGTGCTTTCCTCAGAGCACCTCCTGCTCGCTGCTCCGTGCTGTGGATCCAGGAGCAGCCACAGCACAAACTTTGCTTTTCTCATCCATGGGGCTGATTTCATCCCCTCGTGCACAGTGATGCAGAGAGGGGTTTTTTTAGGTTGTGTTTCCAAATTTTAGAGCAAATCTCAGCTGAGAAAGTTCCACTTGCGATGCTGTTTGGAGCATTTATCCAGAGGGAATGTGCTTGGCAGCTGTGTGAAGGAGGTGAAGGAGCTGCTCCTCACAGCCAGAGTGTAAAGAGTCTGCTCCTCAGAGAACAGTCACACTAAAAAATTTACATTTTTCTTGCTCATAGGAAAACTAACATACATTTCTCCTTGGGTTTGGTAACTAAATAGGATTAACAGTAATGATATATAATGGTATAGTGTAATATATTATAATAGTTTAATTAACAGTGGCACCAATTAAAATATTTCAATTCTCCTCAAAATAAATATTCCTCATGAATCACAGCCTTCAGTGATGCTGCATCTTCTAACTTTAATTATCCGGGGATATTTTTTACCAAGGAAAACTCAAGATGCTCTACTAGAACAACTTAAGGAACTGTTCAAAGCCTAGAAATTAATTAGGAGTGAGATGACAATTGTCATGTGATCACTGCCAGCTTGGATTTGGGTTTCCTTCATTTGCATCGCCTTTCCTGTCCTCGGCTTTTCCCAAGGAGCGAACCCGGAGAGCTGAGTCAGGTCTGGGCTCCACGCTGGTGTTCCAGCACAAATCCCAGTCTGGGGTACAAATGGAGCCTCCGGGGCACACAGAGATCTCCTCCCTTTCCGAAACGAGCAGGAAATCAGAACGCCCTGTCCTCAACCCCCGGTCCTTTTCCAAACGAGCAGGAAATCAGAACGCCCTGTCCTCAACCCCCGGTCCTGGGAGGAATCTTCCCTCTGGCAGGGACCTCCAGTTCAGGAAAAGCCTGAGATTTGGTGGAGCCCCAAATCCTAATCCCGTTCCAGCAGCACAATTAAACCCTCGTTAAGCTCTTATCTTCACGCAGGTTCCCAAACGTCCCACATTTGCATACAGCTCATGTTGATGCCTAGGGCTGGACCCAAACAATTCTCCTCCCCAAATTCCCGAGTTCTCTGACACCTCTGACCCTGCTCTCCTTCCCCCACAGAGAATCCAAGGGTGGAGATAACCACCCTCATCCCCTCTGAGCTCTTCAGCATCTCACATCTTTCATGAAAAAAAAAAAAGGATAAAATTGTCTACTTGCAGTGAGATTTTTTGTCAAATATTCAATACAATTCAAAATTTCCTGGAAAGGATATTTGGGATGCTGTGCTCCCCACATGCATCTCTTCCTAGCTGGGATTACAGTCTGCTTGCCAGCAAGAAAAATAAGTTTTGAAAGGAGTTTAAAAAGTTGAATTAACATAAAACTACAAAGACTGCTTAAAAAAACAACCCAGTGTTAATAAAATAAAAGATTTTCTAAAAATCTCACTTGGCTGGGGTTTAAGTCAACAGGATCCTTTTAGTCCTTTCCTTCCAAAAACCTCATTTTTCTTGCAAACCAGCTGTCCCCAAAAATTGATATATTGATTTTAAACCAAATTAATGAAATGGAAATATTAATTATTTAATTTTAATGCCAGAAATTGAAACGTGAGCCTCAATCTAGACACTCTCAGGTTTACTCAGTCAACATTTGAATGGTAAAAAAAAAATCAAAGCAACCCTCTCAGAGAGTTTTATTTTCTAGACAATGAAAAAACTCCAGAATGCTCCAAGATCCACAAATATAGTTCAGTCACTTCCACAAATAAGGGTCAGTTTATAAGAATTTGTCATCGTTACTGGACTAAAGGACTTGGGTTATGAAACTGTCTTACAAAACATCAGGAAATTCAACGAGCACATTTGGAAGATTTACAAGGGCTTTGCACCAAGAGGTTAAATGCACTACAAACACCGTGCAGCATGTATTCCTTCAGTGAAATACAGTGCATTTCTGTGCAAAAATCCATTAAAATGTGTATTCCTAAACAAAGTCAAGTACAACGAGCTAAGTTTTAAGATATGTCACCTTCACAGCCTTTAAAAACCTTTGAGAAAGAGATTCTATTAGAAATAACTCCCCTAAAAACATGATTTTTGATTCTTCATCAAGCACCACAGGAAGGTTTTTTTAAACAGCCAACATCATTTTCTCAAAGCTTGTAGAGGCTGGATCTACAAATGGAAGATTTGAGGAAAAAACATCCAGAAAACGAAGTGGAAAGCACAAGCAAAGGATTCACATGAACACCCGGTCACAAGCACGTGGATAAATCAGCTCCATCCTCTTCTACATCCAAAGGCTGGAAAGACTCCACGGAAAACAAAACAAAGCAGCACAAAGTGACAATTTCCAGGAAACACCGAGCTGGGTGGAAGTTTCCCTGTGGAAAGCCTCCCCCTGCAGCTCCATTCTCTAGGCACAAACACACAAGGACAATCTAAGAGCAAAGACAGCAGGGTGAAGGAGAAGATCTCTGCAGCCACTCCTGCAGCTGCCAAGGGCTCCTTGTCCCTGCTCCAAGTGTCTCCACGGGCTCAGCCACACCAGGACTGCCCAGCCCTGAAGCAGAGCAGGCTCAGCTGATGCTCCAGGTCTGGTGGCTTCTACCAATATTTACAGTGAGGTGGAATCTTCGTGACCAGAGCTGGGGGAGCCTGGCCACTAAATATGAATTGGATCCCTATTTACATTCCTGCCCCACTTCCATCAGTGAATCTCCCCCAGAAAAATCAGATTTATCCGTGGCTCTCAAGGCAGAAAGTCCCTCCTTTATCACCTTTATCACCCTGTGGTTTTGGGTGGACTCACCAAAACTCCAGCAGTCCAAAAGACAAACCCTGGGAGGCTGGAAGGTGATTTTCCAAACATTCCAGCTAGATATACAAACTCACATTTTGCTCAAGAGCACCAAGGAGCCAAAACCACAGCAGGATTTTCAGAGGAGCTCAGCTCCAAAAGTGGCACCTCCATGAGCTGTCCCTTCCATGTCCCTTAATTCAGATTGACTAAAACAGGGAATTCTGTAAAGGTCTTCGGTACTGGACTGTGGTCCAGCTCCTACAAACTCCAATTTCCAGCTGAGCTGGCACAGGGATGACTGAAACTCACCCAAATTAAGGGACAGAAAATAAACCCAGCACATTATGTGGTGACACTCACCAAGAACTTGGAGCAGACCGCTCCAAAGGAGTCTCTTCACCTTCTGCTCTTTGCAGCAGCCACCAGTAAAGTGAATTCTTTAAAAGAACTTCTTTTCTTCTTTCCTCATCCTGCCTGGTGTGGCAATGAAGCCTTGGCTGCACTTGTGAGAGCAGGATCACCTCTCACAAATAAATCTGACATTTCAGTGGGGCAGTTTCACTGCTGGATGAAGCACAGGGAGAAGCTGAATTGCTCTTTTTCAACCTGTACAAGAAAAAGCACGAGGTATGCAGAAAAAACCCTGGTTAAATCAGAGGGCTCTTGGGTTTTTTAAGTTTGCCAAGTGGAAAATCTTTACACCAAAACCCCCAGGAAACAGCACCAAGTGGGAGGAACTGCTCACTCTTTGTCAGCCAAATCTGTCTACAGAATTCTGCTCCAGCCAAAAAGACTCATCCAATTTGCCTTTTCGTGAAACACTTAGGAACAGCAGAGTGAAGAAGCACTAACAGTCTTATTTCACAGTATATTTCAGTTTTGTCCCTTTGTCAGGGCACAGGAGGTCACCCCTAAGCAAACAGGCTCTGGTGGTGCTGGGTTTTCTTCTAAAGCTTCCCAGCCTGAGTTCTGATAGCTTTTAAAAACTTGCTGCTGGAAAGGTGACAAAATCTCACCTCCTTTGTAAAGCTTTAGCTGCCCCAGCAAAGAAACAGGAGGTCCACAGTGGAGGTTTCTCAAGAAAATAAATATTGGATAAAATCACCAAATGTAAATCATGAGAGGATCCCCGAATTTGAAAAGAAATTACAGGAAAAGAGGAAGAAAAGGATTCCAAAAGGGCGTTCAGAGCTTTTTAAAGCATAGCTCAGATATTTCACTGCTCCTCAGCTACAGCAGGTGTGGATCTGGTTATTCAGAATTCCCAAGGAACCTGCCTGACAGCTTTTAACTCCTGTGGTAAAAAGCTGAAAAGAATTTGGGATTTCTTAGTCCTGGCCATGAAAACACCATTATTTGTGCTTAGTGTTGAAGCCAAGACTACTGAATTCTGAGTGACATTAAAGACACAGCTGAAGATCCACAGCCTGAGCTCTGAGGAGAGGAAGATGCAGTAAAAATTCAGAAAGAAAAGCTTGATCTCTAAATTCCTGCAATTAATTATGTGAAATAGATGTATTCTTCCTGTCTATCTTTTCAGCAGCAGCATATTATTGTTGGGTTTCTTTTGTTATCCTGGTTTTTCTGCCCTGGTTTCCAGGTCAAATCCAGTCTCAGCAAACATTTACAGTTCCTAACTTAGATAACACTGTCCTAAGACAGAAGAATCACAGACTGGCTTGGAAAAGTCCCAAGGTAAGAGATGTAAACCACATTTCATGTCATCTTCAGAGAAAAGGTGGTGCCCCTTTCAGATCAGGGATTATGTCTCATTATTTGAAAAAATCTGTCCCCAAAACAACCCAGAGGTGTTCCACCTGCAAACCCAAAACCAGCAGGCAGAGAAACTGCTCAAGTCCAACCTCTGTGAGCCTCAGACAGAAGATTCTTCACAGATTTCTGGTGCACAGCACTGAAAACTTAAAAAGTATTAAAAATTCCAATTCTCCCCGCAATTTAATGAAAAACCAGAACAATAACAA